ATCTGTGTGGAAATACAATATATAATGAATTTCAATTCAAGAATAAATCATAGGCATAGGCATAGAGTTATTTGTATGCACATACATACATATTTTGGAATTTAATTGGAAACAAATATAAAAGGTAAAGAAGTGGTATGTAGTTAAGATATATTTTCAAATAAATATATAAATCATTATATGTTAATTTAAACAAATAATTATATTTTTATGTATTTTGATTATTATTATATGCACTTTATGAACACAGATTATTTTGTTTTGATTACTTATATAGTTGAGATAGATTAAAGAATTAAAAATACACTCATATTGCATGTCAAAGAATTTATAATATTTTATACAAATATACATAGTTTTGATTAGATTATATTCTGAATTCTTTATGGCACCATGCAACGACAAAAAATCTCCCATTTGATTTCCAAAAATAGAGTACTTATCTCCTACAAAACTAAAGGCTTGCTAAATACGTAAAATCTTTTAAATATATTTACTAGCCATTAATTCTTCTACATCTTCTAAATTTATTTTTCTTTGTTCGCTTCGGAAGTTAGCTAACATGGCTATTATATTTGATTGGTGCACAGCTTCGCAAAAGGTTGATTTTGTTTTTCTGAAACACTGATATAGATCTCTCCTACGATGAATTTAATTTGGCATACCTTACGGCAGCACCACGATTCGAAGTATTCAAGTTTACACCTATTTACTGACTCAGCATGTCTCTTTAGATGCCTCCACTGTGTGCTCGCATTTTGCAGTCTCAAACATCAAGTGCGGTTAGTGCTGCACTCCACCGGAGACACGTTCTACCTCTACGCCTTTTGCCTTCACCTACCGTTTTAAATACCTTTTTCGCTGTAGCCTCTTTTACTATTTTCAGACATTATCAAGTGAACAAATCCAATGGATGTAAATTCGCTGAACTATATCAATGTTCTAATAAAGTCGTGGTTCATTCGGATGCGGTAGCCGTCTCATGAAGAACTTTTCTTTCGAACACTCCCAGTGATTTTTTGCCATACACCAGCAGATGTAGGAAGAACGACATATAAAGCGTTAGTTTTGCCTGTCAACCTAGTGCTCTACATCCCAATTCCCTCCTAAGCCCATAGTAGTACAAATTTGCAATTGTGATTTCTGCAGTTTGTTTAACAGTTAAACATCTCTGCTCTTTAAAATAATTTAAAAAAGGTATCATCTAAGAATCCTTATTGTAAATCATAATGACAATTTTTGAGAACATTATCTTTTTTTTCTTTAAACAAACAGGATATGTGTTCACAACTATAACTATATTTATAGATCCTTTTTGTAATCGAATCATTTTTTGTTAATTTCAGAGGAAGAAAAATTTTTTCTGCTTAATGCCATATAATGGGGTGTATTACAATTACTACATTAAAAAATATAGTAAGCAATGTGTCTAAAATAATATATTGTATATGATAGTCTTCTCGGATCGTTATTATTTCACAAGCTGTTCATTAGAAGAATTGCATTACAGATCTCTCTCGTATTACATGACTACTGGAATAATAAATTTGTTAGTATTAATTGCTGTATACCCTAATTGTGAAGAATAAAACACTTTAAAGCAGTGCAGAGTTAATATTTATTGGTGTCCTGAGGCAAAAAAATCTAGTTTTGTTTGGAACATTTAGTTCAAATATAATAATTATGTGAACAGTTGTGCACAAACATTCGAGGGGTGGTAAAAAGTACATAGGTATGTATGTATGTATTCCAATTTTTACCGTTTTTAAAGAGCATGGATTATGAGGCAAATGATTCTTTTGTTTGTGCAATTAACACGGATATATGTAAACCTTCATGTGCTTAAAATTTTTAAATAGGGAAGGTTTTCTAGAATTTTTTGTTGACTGTTGTTTCGAGGAAATTCATATAGTTTCCTTAAATAAAATTGCGTTTTTGTAAATAAAATTAAAAGTTTAATAAAAAATAATTTTTATAAAAAATTTTATGTCTGTTCCTATAATTGCGTTTCTTTAACTAAATAACCAGTTTAATTAAACATTTTTTTCATTGGAGTCGGGACACAGACTCTGAAGTATTTTTTTAAGGCTGCAAGCAAGTAGAAGTCAATGGCATACATATTCGAATAATTCAACATATGTTATAAGGTTTTTAAAATGAAGCTTTTACAATTTTACTATTATTGTGAGAATTACTATTGTTATAAGAAAGCTTTTGGGGAAAATATTCTTTTTTCTTTATTTGTAAATTTTTTTTTTTGTAATTTCTTCCTTTAAAAGGATCCACAACATAATGTAATTGTCTATTTTTCATTTTTTAAAGTAATAGATGCCGTTTCCAAAATACCTAATTACCTGATATTTGCGGCTTTGGTCATTTTGGTTGCTCCCCGTTAAACTGGCTACAAATCTGGGGTATAATGATATAACCATATTGCATGAGTTATTATATATCGTTTGAAAAAATCTAGTATATTGTACAGAAATTTGATAATAAAATATATATTGTGTCAGCTCTTCGCAGATCACACATCTCGTTGACATATCCCGTTTGAAGATTGTAAACAAAATCATAAGGATTTGTCGGTAGTAACTTTTTGAGATGAGTAAACTTTTTAAGTGATATCGAATATTCTGCAACACATTTTTGCTTTATATTTTAATTTTTAGCTAAAACCCTTCAAATTGAAATTTCATAATTATTTAAACTAACAACGTATCTGATACATCATATTACCAGTTTTGTTCCCGTTATTTGCTCCTGAAATAAAATTTTTGGATAAGCTACTTACCAGTAGGTATAATATATATGACCCAAAACTATGCTTTCTCCCCGTATCTTACTCATCTTCAGAAGTAAGTGTCATAAAGTAGATAAGTCATTGTATACGTAACTGTGGTGCACAATATTATTATACCATATAACGTGGAAATTCTTCTAAAGCAAACCGTTCTTAGGTCGACTCTTAACAATATTTGAAAAATCAAATGGTTTAACAATTATAATACATAGAAGTAATGACAACTCATCACTTCCAAACCCATCACAATGGGCAATAGATGATTCCGAGTGGAAATGTTGATAGTTATATCAACAATATTACACACCTCAAACGTTGGTAACATGATAGAAGACTCAATCATACAGAATACTCAAAGAAGCCATATCAAAACTTCATAAAGAGAAACCATCAGGAACAGACAAGATACATTATTTTTATTTTAAATATATAACTTATTGAATGTACACATCTGATCCAGAGACAATGTGTCATGGCAAAACATATTTTAAACCAAATCCAGACAATCCCAAAATGCTTCGCAATATTGACCCATAACCACCTTAATATGGGATATAAATTATTTAGCTCATGCATCAGCGTAGAAATAAGCCTCGATTGCAAAAACAACATATCAACATATCTTATCGTATCTCTTAAATCTCTAAAAACAACATATCTTATCGTATCTCTACAACCTCTAAAAGTAACTGCCATAACTGCATATGTAATTGCATTAGACAACACAATGATATCATATGCAGTGGAAACTTTCCAAACGCAAACCGGATTTAGCAGAATCGCCTTTGCTACGACCCTGAATGGAAGACTGAATGGTTTAACGCATATAACACATGGATGTATATTCTCTCAAGCAATTTTGCAGAGCATCACAGTGGACATTAGGTGTTTTGGTGAGGAAGTATTAACACATGGAACAACACGGTGTTTCTCAGCCTAATCTTACTTTTTACGGAACATCTTTCTAATACTTACTTTTGTAAACCATAATTTGAAGCAACTTGACTTCTTTTGGTCTGACACCTCTTCGGACGAATAAGTTGAAGATGAGTGTCTGCACAAAATAGTTTCTACTCCTGCTTATTTTTTTTATATCCTTTGTTATTTGTACATCTGTTTTATAGTAAGAAAACATCAAGTACTTGTTTAAATCTGATGATGGAAAGTTTTACGTCGACAACTTATTCAATTATAAGGTCGTGTTTATTGAAGATATTATTCTAAACAAGATTCACGGGTCGTATTCTCTTGAGTCTTCGAGTTTTCCTAAGTTCTTTTAAGGGAAGTGAGTTATTTTCATTAATCTTGCTTATATCAACTAATTTATTTCATAAAAATATTCCGTTTTACTATTAATAAGATTCATCTCTCTGACATGAAACAATGGATTAAAAAAAATTATTGGTTGTTGTTAAGTAAAGAACAATGCCGTCTGTATATAAATCTATATACATATGTATATGACGATAACCAATAACAAAAGTATATATATATAATGTATGTCTTCATATAATATCATAACTAAGTACGGTGGCAATCCTACAAGGGGTTATATAGAATATGTGTATCTGATAAATATAACCATAAGTAATAATTATTACTTAATCACTTATGCAAATGACTGATTAAAATAATATATAAAGCTGTCAACACATGGTCTTTATATTTTTTATCATACAAAAATATTTACACAATGTTATATTTCGAAATACATACTATAAAATTGCGATAATTAGATATGTATGTATGTGTATATCAAAAGCCTAGTTGCTCTGGTTATACACTCCATTACTCCATTAATGTAAAGAAAACGAGTTTGTTTAAACTGAAATCAGATATAAGGTTTGATAAACGCTTGGAGCAAACAGCAAAAAAATAAAACCACAGATTTGCTTTGTCACCCTCACTGAGACCCTGGCCTATCGATTAGATATCAAACATTTCGTAAATAAAAACATACACAAATGGGTTTTAATAACTGTTTTTAGCTTTTATAAATTACTTTGAGATGGTATGCAACCCTCTTAACCTGGCAACCACCCGAGATCCCGTCTTAGCACAAACGACAAAAAAATTAAAAGGTGAGCAGCGAGGCTATCAGCTGTTAGTATAGATAATAAAAATGAAAATAAAATGCCTATTAATAAATTTATTTGCTTGAGGTTGAGTATGCGTTTTTAGCGTTTTTAGCAAAAACGCTTTTGTGCATTTGTTTACGATTTTGATTTTTGATTTTTGGTTTTTGTTGACGGTTTGTTGCTGTTGTACGTAAACAACACTTGAAGCAGTAAACGAATGGTTTGTGATATGTGCAAGTGGCAAAACAAGTAAAACCTCTGAAGCAGAGTTCAAAAGCCGATATGGAAATTATTGCGAGACTTGCATTGCAGGCAAACAGACGCGTTTTCACGATCGCAAGTATTTAATTGTTTTATAAAATTTACTTCAAAGTTTCACTTGTGCCAAAAAACTACTTCAATTCAGTTGCAAAAATGTCAAGCTGCGCGGACACATCCATTCATTCGGCCACCATAGCGGAAGTACACAATGTGCCTTTAAGTGTGATACATCGCCCGATACCACCTGTTTTGGATGAAAAGAAAGTACAATCTCTCATCGAAGCAATCAAGGTGCGTTTAAAGCCTTTGCAGGCGTGTTTGTTTTGAGGCAACATTTTATAACGTTTTGTGTTTTTATTAACAGAATGAAAAAAATGATGATGATGTGCCACCAATCGACGTGCTTTGGTTGAAGGGCAGTGAAGGTGGCGATTACTTTTACAGTTTTGGCGGTTGTCATCGTTTTGAAGCATACAAACGTCTGAAGCGTGATACGATCAAAGCGAAATTGGTACATTCCACATTGACGGATTTGTATCATTACATGGGCTCCAGCACACCCAAGGAACTGAAATAACTACATTTACACAAAAATTTCCTGTTTTTCACTGCGTTTGTGTTTTAAGAAGAAAAAAAACAAAAAAATGAATAAATACTTAGCAAATAATTATACTTCATTGTGTAATATTTGTAATACAACACACATACGTCATCAGTTTATATTTTACTTACATTACGTACTTAAAATGACTCATTTAATACTACCACATAAAAGGCGCTTTCTCACGCAGCACACGCAACCCGTATTTTTCCCATTCATTAGGCATTATCCACAGTTCTGGTGCACTCTCTAAGCAAGACATAATTGCCGCGCCTTTCCATGCTATCATACCCGCATCCATTTCTTTGGCAACGATATTAACCTCAAATTGAGGTACACCAGGAGTACGTTGCTGTGCATATGCTGCCATACTGAGAGTGACTTTCTGTTCTAAACACTTAGCGAAACCACCAAATTTAATTCCACCACCTACAATAAGTATGCAACCGTACATTTTACGTTTCATTTCATCATTGCCACAACGCTCAATGCTGCGTACAATTGCTTGATCTAATGATACGATTTGTCCATTTATCATAAAATTTTGCTCTTCTTTTTCACCATTTTTTATGGTTGTGTCAACATCAAAAGTTTCTACCACAACCAAATCATCTTCACCTACATCTCCAGTTGTAGGCATTGTTCCCTCCATCATTGCACCTTCACGTCCATTACGTCGACCTGTTTCCCGTATGTATTCAGCATCAAAACAATCCTCCGCATCGGGTTGTTGGCTGCTGCGCAATTGTGTACGTACGTCTTTCAGTTTTCCAGTTATGTTCAGCAATTCTGTGTGAAATAACGACATAGGTGCTACCAGGCACTCATCTCCCAATTGTATAGTATAACGCAGTATATGATTAGCAGTTTGTACCTGTATTAAGAAAAATTTAGTAACATTTTTGATTATATAGCATAAGCTCTTACATTAAAAGTTTTTTCCTGAGCACCGCATATTTCGAAATTCAAATGACAAAAACGTTCCTTTAAATGTGTGAGCAGTGTTGCATCTTGGTAACTATTTTCAACTTTGCATTCCTTATATGGGAAGCTGCACTTACGCAGTAAAGTGTAAAATACTTGTGTCACATCTGCTCCTCCATATGCCAAACGCACTCTGGTGTCTGGTTGAGAAATAGCATCTTCAACACAAGATATGGAGCATTTCTGATCACCTAAATCTACCACACATGCGTATCCCAATCCTGCACCAAACGTTGCAGAGACGTGATCTTGCAGTAAAAAGCATGAAGCAAAGCGTAGACGTTGTAACAGCAATGTGACCATTTCACGCAAATGGCTTCGGTTGTATACATCCGGGATGACTAAGACTGCATTATATTGCGATAGCAATTTCGGTGTAATACCCATTTTATCGTTGATCACGTGCAGCCATATTGCTTCCAGATTTTCTAGCACAGAAGACATTGAACCACCAATGCCATTGTGCAAATTAAGTTCTCCGCGCCTTAAGGGAAAGTGTACATTGTACTCTTTGGCTTCTGATGAAGTTAAACTTAATATAGTCTGATCGAAAATCGTTTCTGTACTCTCGAGTTTTACTGTATGATCTTTATCAAGTGGTAATTCCTCTGGAACACTTCGCCTGTTAAAGGTTGAAATCTGTTGTGGTGGAGTAGATATGCGCGACCGTTTACTTGCATGTTTTGGATATGCTTGCAATTGTATACTGTGCGCGACCTGTAAACGATTTTCTTCAAATTCTTTGTTAGGTTCTAATAGTGGTGGTAACATGCCATCCTGGTATGAAGTTAACCCTGATTCAAGGCGGTGTTTTCTTCCAACAGCATGCAAAACTGTAATAGGATTTAAATCAGACGCCCGACCGATGCGTAAATTTCGTGAACCTGGATGTATAACTATAATTTTATTTGCCATTTTATTTTCCTTTTGTTACATTTACTTTGCGTGAATAGAACACAACGTCTGGTGTTATTTGCCGGCAATTATGTTTGTTTATGTATGAAACCACCATAACGTCACGGCAGAGTAGTGTTGCCAACTATTTCGGTTACAGCAATCTTATGAAGTATTGAATATAGCGAAATTTCAGTGTTTTAACTTAAGATATCGATATAATTAATTTAGCTAGCCTACAATTATCAAATTTTTCTTTATTATAGTCATGTACTTTGTTAATTTCTAATACTAGCTTAAATTTATTGTGTAATATGACTATAATTCATTTTATTATATGTGGCTGATACACATCTATGTTAATAAAACGGCTCTTAATAAAACCGTATTATTAAAACTGGCAATAAAACGGATTTTTATAAAGTATTATAATAACAATGTTTTATTTTAAGTCAGTGTCAATTATTTTAACCTCATAGACACATTATAATAACTGTATATAAAGTGTTTGTAATTTGTTTAAAACATAAGATGCATTCGGCAGTTCGAAATGCAACAAAAAACAATAGGGGTATTCACTCTCTCTTGTAAACTCATTGCAGGGAGCACGAAATGCAAGAATGCTATGTAAAAACTGCAAGACTGCGAGAACACCTCTGTTGCAGAATTGCATCACCAAAATGAATCAGCTGTTTTTGCAGCCGAGTCAAATTGAGCAAAGAAAAATAAAAGTATAACAATGCCGCGAACAAGTGAAATACAAAAATGTATAGATTTTTTTATTGAAAATAGTGCTTTTAATATTCTGATTGAAGGTATTAACATGTTGTTAATGTAGTTTTCACTACTATATAGTTTCTATTTGTTAGATGATGCAAATTACTGGGAAGTGATGGAGCAATAAAATGAAGACCTTTTGTTTACTTTAGTAAACCATCACAGAAATCACCAACCCGTACCAAAATCTATTCAATGGAGATCTACCATTCTTCAAGAATTTGATGAAGGCCGTTTTTATCAGATGCTTAGAGTAAATTGGAACGTATTTTCCTTAATAATCTCACTAATAAACTATTAAGGATTGCTATTGTTTTATATCGTTTGGGTTCATCAGGCGAAAATGCGGCTATTCGTAAAGTCGCTACATTATTTGTTGTTGGAGATATATGTAATAATAATATAATATAAAAATAATT